GCCTTCTCCCATTGTAGGGGTTGTTGGTCGGTGACAGAGTGATGAATAGAACAGGGAAATGGAGTAAGGAAAGATGAACTTATGTGATCTCAGTGCTCTTTTTAAGAATGTAGAATCACTTGATTATTCTTTAATGCAAATGAAAATGCGTAAGTAAATTAGATTACAAAACCAGATAAAATTAACCACTTGGCAAGGCTGGGCCACGTTTTGAAGCAAATGATAAAAATGGACTTTGGGTAGGGAAGAAAGAGAGGAAGAAGAGAGGGGGAAAAGACTTCTTCAGGAATGTGGGGGGAGAAAGCAAGTAGCCTGATTAATATCCCCATATGTTCTGGCAGAAAGTATTATAGAAAAGTGTATCAGATAGGTATATTTTTAGATCGTATACTTTGTTACAGAACCAAACATCTAGAGCATGAACAATTAATTAATGGCTATTTTAAATTCAGCTAGGACCATATGGTGAGAAGGGATGCACTGGGACATGAGGCTTAATCCAGCCATGTAATCAAGACGCATCTCAAAACAGTTAGATTTTTGCTTAAACTACTCCTACTAGGAGGTTCTTTCATGGAGTACTGCAGACTTTTCCTTGCAGTTTCATCTGAAGAAACAAGAAATTAATCTGAGGAAGAATTTATGCTAAAAAGCATTCGTAAGCATGCAAAATTTTCAGAAGAACCTTGGTTGGATGGACTTGTGATCATTTGGGAAAGAAGGTGATGCTAGTTCAGGCAGAACCGTTTAAAAGAAACGATGATATTGCAAAGAAACATATGAATTGAGGATGTGTAGAAATTGAAAGTGCTAAAATGCTTTCATCAGTGTAAATAAAACCACTCGATTTGTGTTTCTGTTTATAAAAATGCCAGGTATCACAAATACCAAAATCTTAGACCCATTAACCTGATATGCAGCATGAATAAACTAGCCAGAAAGCATCTATCTAAGCAAAATGTACCATCAGGAAAAAAGCCATGCTAAAGACTAATGAGAAGAACAAAAGAACGAAAGTAACCAGTTTAAAACATGTAATGAATACAAATGAGGCTGAAGAAAAATTGTCTGGGAAATTAATTCGGAACAGGTCCATAAAGCTCCAAGATCAAAATAGCATTTAGAAATTATCATCAAGTGGGAATACTGAACCAGTCTGTATAATGGGATTGGTGTGGCATGCCTGTATCTCAATGCCTGAAAAAAAAAACCACAAAGAAAGTTTGAGGAGCTGCGGGTGCCTGCCCGAGACTAGGCTGTCAAGCTTAGAAACAGTTATGGGTCAAAAAGTGACAGTAAGAGAAAAAACATGAGATGGTACTAACATGTGTAACTGAAAAAACAAAATTAGTGTCAAGTAAAGCAGCAGCCTAGGGGCCAGAATTGAGCCACTTGAACTGAGTTATCCCTCCTGTTGATACTGTAGGCTGTTTGCGCTAAGAATAATTCGAGTATGTGAGTTTTTTGTAGCAATTAACTTCTAGTTTGAAAACTAACTGTTGGATTCAGCCTCACTCAGTAGGCAAAAATGCTACACTAACTTTTAACAGCTCTGTGCTTTGTATCTTTTCCTTTAGATCCTTCTTTAAATCTGTGGCCTGACTCAGCCTGTTCTCAGCATGATGTCAAAGAAAGGCAAGTAAAGGCTATAGATAAGAATAACATGCTTAGTTGTACAATAACTTACTTAGAAAAAATCCTGATATTTTGTAGCTGATGCATGGATTTTCACAGAACTTTGTCAGGAATTGCCGTAATGCAGGGAAGTATATACCTACCTGTACAGCTCTTTCTGATTGAGAGGAATCGTCTTACTTCAGGGAAGAAGTGGACAGGCCGGACCAGGAGCTGATTTCACAGCAGGTGCCTCTTTGCCCTGACACCATAAAGCAGTGGGTAGGGTGAGCTAACAGCTGTTCGGCTCCTCATAAGACATCTCCAGACTTAGATAGGTTTTTAGGGAAAACAGCTATTGGTGAGTTCTTCCCTGCTATCAGCGTGGGCAGCAAGGAGACTCCTGATGCATTTGCTGTCACTGTGTTTTGCTACGTCTATGAAGACGCAAAAGAGATGAGCTCCCAGCATACATGCGGTATGGGAGTTACTATAAATCTTTTTACCCCAGCATCAAAAAATTGTGAGCTATCAGCTTCTACGTTCTCTGAAATCTGTGTTCAGACTAGTGGTGAGTGGTCATACACTTAATGTCTGATCACCTGGGTCCCTTATGATACTGTGCTCATTCAGAAACATAGTACTATAATTGTGGTTGTTAGAGTAGGAGTCCATTATTAGGTGTATTGGCTGTAAACAACTACTGGGCATTAAAACCTCTCCTCCCTAAGTACAGCATTATTAAGGTCGTGTCCGTTTCGTTTGCCCATTGTAATCTAGAAGGCAGATACTCATACATTAACCTTCTTGTGAAAAATCACAAGCTGTGGTCTGAATTGGCAGTAACAGTGACCAATCCTGAGCCATAAAAAAATACGGGAACTGCTTAGGTGCACCTGGTAATAGACCGCTGTGACTTGTTCATTAACCAGGTGTTCATTAAGCAAGATACGTCTACTGTTACCCTCAAATGCTTAATCTGCTCTGTCAGATCTGCAGCATTAGGGATGAAATTGAAGCTCCAGAAAAGACAATAGCAGCATTACTGTGGACAGTGTTTCTCCCTAAAAACACTTTGCCATCTTCACAAAGAAAAGCATGCAAGCTGTTTGGCACTCCCAGTGGTGTTGAAACAGTCTTGAAACCCTATTCAAAGCCAGAAGTCTGGTATGTCTTTTGCTCTGAACACCATTACCGTGAAGGAGACACAGAGATGAACTGGAAACCAAGCGACTGCATGCTCCAACATGCAAGGTCTAGCTACTTTTTCACACTCCTGCTTGATGAATTCCAGCAGCTTCTGAGAAAGAGGACAGGGCAGGCAGCACCAGAGGTTTCACAAAGCATTCAAAGAAGTATTAGCCTATTTCAATAGAGCTCCCAGATGTCTTAAAATATAGAGTAACTGAATGCCAGGCCATTACCTCTTTGTGGCCAGAGATGCACAGAATGATTGAAAGATTAATTATAAACGCAGCTAAATACATACAACTCAGCATAAGAGAAACAGAAATAATATGTACTGCACTACACTTATTAATGTAGACGTTTCAGAGGCTTCATAGACCTGTCACATAACAAACAAGGCATGATTAGATGGCTCGCATTGGCTGTTTTAATCGGATCTTGGGTAATTCTTGGACAGAAAAAATGGCAACTTTAGTTGGCAAAAAAATATCATTCGTTTAGCTCTAGCTATTTAAATGTATTATCACTGGGCTTTTTTAATGCTCTAAGAAATGTGTTATATCTGATTTGTATGTCATTCTTTCTTTGACTGCGCTTGGAGGGAGAGAGGTTGAAAAAGAAGTTTGCATGAATGAAATCATTTGTGCACCAGCAAATTTCCTTGAAATAGCTGTTGAGTCCATGACCATATTGATTTTTGGCAATCCTTTCTTTGGTGAAAGCTTTCTGACACGTGAAAGATTCATCAGCAACATAGGCAGGAGTTATCTGTAGTTTGTTTGTGCCATACAAGCAGTGCTGTTAAGGTTTAAGGCTTAAGTTTGTGATATATGTGTTACCATAAGAATTAATTTCTGGTACTTGATCCTGATCAATATAGAAAAAGTTAAAGAACTTCTTTGAGATTAGTAGTATTTAGATATTTTATATGCCCACAACAATCTGTGTTCTACTTGGGAAGCCAGTATTTTCCAAGATTTTTTTTTAAACTAGCATGGAAGGTGTCAAAGAAGATAAACTATCTTTAAATCAGAAAATAGCTTCCTTCCTGCTGTCTTATCAAACTGCACCATATAGTCTAGAAACGTGTGCTTGCTGAATTACCAATAGGAAGATTTTTATGTATCAGCCTAGAAGCTATGACACTTGATTTGAGTAAACATGTTTAAAAAAATCTTTGCCTCCTAGGAAGAAGGCAAAGCATGTAGGAATGGAATATTTAGTATTAGTTTGTGCCAGAAGAATAGCAAAGATAGATAGGAGAAAAATAACTTAAATTCAGGTGGTACCCTAAAAAAATGAAGCAATGACATGTCAAGAATAAATAGAAGATAGAACTTCGAAGAGATACCTTGACTAGCTGAAGTATCATCAGTGTCATCAGAAGTTTAAACATGGAATTCGAAGCCTGGCTGTGAGTGTCAGCAAGGCATCTTACAGATTAATCAAGCATCTGCAGAAAGTTTAGTCAATATTTCAGTAGTGTTGAACTGCAGGTAATATTGCTATTGGTAGTTAAGTGGGAAACTGGGATGTGGTAGTGTGGACAGCAAAGCTAAATGGCTTATTGTGTGAAACTGGAGTTTGAGCAGAGTGCTGCAGGATCCCGGTTCTGGTCTGCAGAGAAAGGTGAAACTGGTCACTGAATGGACACATTAGGCTCAAAAGCAGCACCTCTGCTACTGAAGAACAGAGACTGTTTTCTGATCCTGAAGCCAGGTTACAAACCACTACTCACATCAAAGTAGCCAAACTCTCATCTTCAGAACAGGGTGGCTGTGCTGAAAAACTGCCTTTTATGAATGATTCCTGGCATGCGCTAGTCCCTGAACTCTGCTCAGGAAATATCTGAAAACACGATAGCTGATACACGTCACAGCTGTGCTCAAATATGCTAAGAGTGAACAGTATGAACAAACATGGCTCATTTCTTGATCTGCTGGCCCTACTTATTTTCTACCAGAGATGTAACCAAAGGGAATTCTGAGGACCCTACAAAGCATGTTGTAGGTTCAAGCACTAAATCATGACTTCTGATATAATCTGAATTAAAAGGTCTTACAGTCTCTTGGAAACCTTATGAAGTCAGAATCGCTATTTTATATCCTTCTTGGTAAAATAGAATTCTTTTCCCTGAGATTCTGCCCACAATGCTGGCTAATGCTGTCTCACAGTTTATCTTTTATTTCTTTGTTCAGATAGGTGTTGTTGCCCTTTGAAGCAAATGTGCTCAGCAGCCTTGATCCCTTTGTGGAACCTACAAGACACATTCTTGCTGCGTATCAGGACCAGAGCTGGGTGAGTGCTGTTACCTATCTCCCAGCAACATGCGGTATCCTTTGTTCTCTAATAGTTCCCCCAGTCTAAAGAGTCAAAGTGTCAGGACTGTAGGAACACTGTGGAGCATACCTGCTCTGTAGTCAGGAGCTAGTCAGGATACACATACAGGAACCATGCCTGTGAATCGCATCTCTCTTAAAACAGAGGTATGGTCTCTAATCTCTAGCATAAGAGCTAGAGAATCCACTCTGAAGAGCTCTTAGATGCTGTCAAATAGAAATCATATAATAATGATTCATACTGCTGCCATTGCTGCTACCATTGCATTATATTTGCTAGTTTCTGTACCTCTAAAAGAAAAATGCTACGTTATTGTACATATCATATTGGCGCTTTCATTCATTTGGAAATACAGAATATAGAAATTATTACTGGAGGAAACTCTCCAGATTCTATATTTTATCTAAAGTACGAGCTAGGGCGAAGATATGACACCAGCTTCACAGGAAAGTGCAGAGAACTGCAAATGTCTTAAACAAGAGAGGTTTAAGTGATCAGATGCCATCTGATCAAATTGCAAACAGTGTGATTTCCCCTAAAGTTTTTATAACTTGAATGACGCAGAAAGAACATGCTCTGTTTTCCTGTGTTTATTCATGTGTTGATATATAATACGTAATGTGTAAAAGGTTTTCAAACAATTGCCTGAATTTATGTAGAATATACATATTATAGCTAATTTGGAAACTTAATAAATTGTTTTTATTGACTAAAATTAAAGCCAGAAGTTCTCTAGCACAAGGATATATTTTTCTTCCAGTTACAATTTTCTATTCAAAGAATGTTCTCTCACTTAGCATAAGAAAACTTATACCCTGCAAACCTATATTATTTAGCACTCTCCATCTTTCAGTGTATTATTTAACTTTCAGCAACATACCTGAAGACATAATCCAGCAGAATAGTAGCAAAGCAAGCCCCTCCTCTCCTGCCTAACATTCTAAATAGAGTATACTCATTATTTGTGGTACTTATTGTCAGAAGAGTGAACTGTAAAGAATGCTTTCAGGTAATGAACTGATTTTATTGCTATAAGTGTAAAACAAAACAAAACAAAAGATAGAAGAATAATACTTCACCTTTGGTTTAGGAATATATTCTCCTGCATGCACATTCTTCCTGTAGATGGCAATTAAATTCATATGGAAATTTAAGAATGTGCTTAAGTATAGAACTGTCTGAGGCCAATGCATTTTGAAAATCGGTATCGAGTCTTTAAAGTCTTATCATCTACTGAATATAGGATCATGGATTACTGTTTCCGGTAATACAAAGCAACAACAGCAACAAAAAAAAATATATAACTCTAAAAATATGTCAAACGGAAGAATAATATATAACGAGTATATTTAAAAAACTAGACTGAAGATCATGAAAACAAGGTAATCTCTACATAGAGATTTTCTTTATGGCATTAAGTAATTTATACAGTGGTCCAATACATACATTCATACAATATATTTTTGAAAAATATGATCTCTTTAAGTAAACTTTTAAAGACAAGGAACTGACTTAAAAGATAATTTGACTTTAAACCAGTACATGAGTCCGACACTCTTTTAGTTTAAGTTACTTCACTGATTTTCAACTACATGAAGTACATAAAGCGATCGGTATGTATTTCCCTGTGGGAAAAATTACACAGTTAACTCACAAACTACCATTATCAGTTTAGCAACTACAGTAAGCATTTGCTGAAAGTAACTTCATCTGTTTCTTTTAGAACAATATTGGAAGCGCATAAGTAACCCAGAGACAGCGCTATATGGTTATCACTGAAATTAATACTTTCCATATTACACTCAATATTCTTAGATACATTATCATATTTTCATCTTCTTTTTTACAATTTACACTTAGAGTAGAGGTGGGGCACATCTTTTCCATGCTGTTTTAGGAACTTCCTCCTGCACTTATTTGCATGTTTGTCCCTCACTTACCTAGTGATCATATACTTCAATTTATTCAAGGAAGAAATCACTAAATTTCTACTCAGTACAAGTTACTGGTAAGTGTTATTCCGCCTACAAAAGCCTCAGATTTTAAAGGCACATAATTTATTTCTGTGTTTCTGCTGAGATTGAAACCAGTGGTGCGATGAAAAGCTCTAAAATTCCTACCAATGAATGAAAAATCAAAAGCACATTAGATTTTTGTGCATGTGCAGGAATCATTTATGTGTAGCAAACTAAACACCATTATTACTCCTCTCTGATGCTGATATATTATTATATTTGCTAAATGTAAATCATGGAATTAAACAACTGAAGACAGAAGTGTTGATTTCAGTGCCCGCCTTAACCTTTACAGAATAGAAAATAAAGAGAATTTCCTGCACATGAGCAATTATTAGACTGTGCGCTGAAGGTTTTTCATAATTGCTGGCAGTCTGCAGTAACAGAAATATTTTACTCTGCAGTGAAGAGCCTCAGTATTACAACCTCACATACTTGGCTGGATTCAATCATTTGGTCCCATTAAGACTTCTGTTTTCCCGTCCGTTTCCGTAGGATCCAGGATTTCAGAAGTTCAATCACATATATGTGTATATATACATAAATATGTACCCAGGTATATATGCTGTCTCTAAGACTCCAGATCACAAATAACTAGGGACCCATTCTTGCTTCCCTTCAGATCACAAATAACTAGGGACCCATTCTTGCTTCCCTTCTTTGCTTTCCATTGCTTTGCCTTACTTACTGTCTCGTAATGGACCTGACGTTTTGTGCTTGGAAAGTAGATGAAAATCTGAATAAACAGTGTTAGGTTAGTGAATATCATGAAGGTTCATAAGGTAGGCAAGGCTTATAGGAAAAGATCTTTTATTAGAACAAGTAACATAAAACAGATGTGCTTTCAGGCACACAAGCCCTTTTCAGGTCTGAAGCAGAAAACTTCAAACCATCACAGCCACGGCGCTGCTGCTGCTCAAAGAATTATTACTGCTTTTTGGAAGGTGGTGAACTGTGCTGTAGCTAATGTGCTAATGTGTAACCTCTGAGATCATGGTTGCTTTACAAAGCAGAGCTTTGTATTTTCTTTGAGTTTCTTAATACATAAAGACAATTTTCACTGGATAATCAGTGCTGTTTCATTCAGCTGGCCCTTAATTATTGTTATACATTAGTAGATTTTTTACTAGCAAAGTGGAAAGAGAACATTGGTCATTTTAGGCATAGACAGCATGGTAAATAATCTGAGCTACACTATTTTTATGTCACTTTTATTAGATGTTTATAGATGTTTATACTGCAGTAGCAACCAGCACCTTGAGACAGAATCATTGCCTTGCTGAGCCAGATACCAGTCAAACAGAATGCCCTGCCCCACTGAGCTTAGAAGTCTAGCAGTAAGTGGATATTCTGAAATAATATTAGGTCATGCTAAGTTCAGGTTTCAGTAATGATGCAGGAATGGCTTCCTTCCTGTGTCAGTATCTTCTCTGCTTCTAGGAGCATGGGAGGAAATTCAGACCTTACTGGAGTCAAGATATCTGTTAGCTAATTACTCAATTGCGTTATATTTTTTGTATTAAACTGCATAGGTTGCAGATGAATTATGCTGGATAAGGATTTCCTGTAAGATTCAGATATGTCACTTTGCCACATAAGTGAAGCATCTGTTAGTACCAGAACAGGTTGTTTTAACACTGCTGCACAGGGTCTTCCACTGGACTTCACTCAGAATTATGGATAACTGAAAAATCCAGGCCAGCATCACTTCTCATTAGTTTTATTTATGTAATTAATTACTCTGATGATAATTTTAGAAGCACCATCCCACCATTTTGAAGTTGTTCATAGTAATAAACTAGTTATCGTGTAAGAGGTCCATGCACTGCTGCCATTTTCTTTGTCACCCATAGCTGCCTTGGAAAAGCTGAATGAAATGAGTAAGCGCTCTCTTTCTTGGTAGGATGAAGATTATCTGCAGTTATGGAGTGTTTCAGCTCTTATTTCTTTCAGAGTACTTAAATGTTTGTATGAAGTTAGTGGGAAATTAAGACAAAATCTTGCTGATCCATTCAGCAAGCACTATCGAAGGAGAAGAGTCATTTGTTTGCTGTTAGCGTGAACACTGCCGACAGTATGTTCCAGGTATGTTATTCTTTTGGCTACTTACTGAAAGATCCTGATGCTTTTGCACTGTTACCAAACAATTGCAAAAAACCACATGAATACACTGTGTATTTACTGCAA